TTATCATATGGCCAATGAAATCCTTTCTATTCCAAAACAGTTTCAAGTGTTCCAAAGAAGCCATCCATAGCAAGAACCTTGGACTCAGGAGAGTGTTGCTGCTTGAGCTGTGTAACAACAGCCTTACAACATGGTGTTGCTACTGACCTAGATCAATGAGAAGCCCCGATTTGCCCAAAAGTGGCCCCAAGCAACACAGTGTCACTTTACAGCACCAATTGATTAAATGTTGGCATTGCTTACGCACATTGTGATTTTCCCCAAAAGCTCTATCAAATGAACAAAGAAGAGGTTTTTGGTTTTTTTTTTTTTTTTTAAAGATAATAAAATAACAGTACAGATTCGTAAAATTCACTGAGCATTTAGCACTTCATCTTTTTTTCTTTCCTTTCTTGTCTCTTCAGGACCATTGTTAATACTATAGCAAACCTATTAGTGTGTTATAAAGTTACCAGCTGTGACCAAACATACTTTTATTTGCTTCTTTGTATATCTAGGTTATATTATTGAAATGGATAGATCTCTTACTATTCCGACGGCAAACATGTATGAATCTGACCAATCATATTTCTATTGTTGAAAACCCCCCCCCCAAAAAAAAAGAAAAACCCTATATATGATACCAGGTATTTATCTTTTATCTCAGTAGTGCTCGGATGAGTGTTACACATTTGGAACTTCAGTACACAAAGGATGGTGCTTACAATGACTCCTCATACACATACAAAATGTCTATATTGAAAATTGCTTTTTACTATTGCCAACTTTATATATTTTGCAGCATGAAACAAAATAATTCTAAATGTACATAAGTTTCTGCGTCATTCCTTCCCGACAGACGGATGATAATTTTCTGAATTTGTTTCCTAGCTTGCATAAATAGCAGTTGCATTTTTTTCAATGCTGAACTTAATAAAAGCTCAGACAGAGGACAAGATACGTAACATTTCATAATAACTGCTGAAATTCTATAACTTGAGTGCAGACAGGGCTGGTGAAGAAAGGAGAGAGGATCCAGCATCACAAGTCCTGGTGCAGCATTCCAAGAATGGAGGACCAGCGACCCAATGTGGCAAAGTCAATTGTTGCACCCGGGGCCGCAGAGGAAATTCTGGATGCTTGGCTATTACAAAGGATTTTTGAAAGGCTCTTTATTTTTGTAAACTGGATTCAGAATCAACCACTGAGCACCTACTGTGGTCTAGATAAATTTATATACCTGTTACTTCAACATCTTTTGTTTTTAGGTTGACATACCTGATATATTGGTTCAGGGGAAATTTTACAAGCATTGATAGTTTTGATATGCTGTGCCCTTGAGAACTGAAATAACAGACAATAACCTTGAGTTATTGTTGCTGTTTAATCTGACTAGTTATTGATAACATTAATATAGGCTGAGCTAACACTTTAAACATTTTAGACAACAGGGGAGAAATATCACTACTCAAAAAACCCCAACCTTCGTATATTTTATATTTCATAAAGCAGATTTTGCTGGGTTAGTACTTTTGTTTTAATGTACTTTCAACTAGTTTTCCTAAGAATGGAAGATTGGGAGGCCGAGGCAGGCAGATCTTTTGAGGCCAGGAGTTCGAGACCAGCCTGGCCAACGTGGTGAAACTCCTTCTCTACTAAAAATACAAAAATTAGCTGGGTGTGGTGGCACATGCCTGTAATCCCAACTACTGGGAAGACTGAGGCAGAAGAATCAATTGAACCTGGGAGATGGAGGTTGCAGTGAGCCGAGACCGTGCCACTGCACTCCAGTCTAGGCGACAGAGCAAGACTCTGTTTCACAAAAAAAAAAAAAAAAAAAGAAAGAAAGAAAGAAAGAAAAAGAAGAATCAAAGAAAACAAACTGCTATGCTGTAAGTCAAAGGAAATAACGTCATTAATGTGGAGGATGCCCGTCCCCTGACATAGTTCTCTTAGAAGCCTGAATAGATTTTCTTTCTGAACAATCCCATCCTCCAGCAATTCAATACTTCAGGGCTAATAATCTTAGTGTCCTATTACATTTTTTATTGATTAAAATTTATTAAAGGCTTCACAATTGTGCACTTCTATCTGTGTCAACATGTGATTTGTCCTGAAACATCAGATGTACTGTGAAGTTTATTTCCTTTGAAATTCATTTCAATAGCTTATTATTAAATGAAGCCGTGGTTCCAATGGGACATCAAGAGATCAAGCCAACCTGAAATTACAAATGAACAAACACACGAATGACCAGTCTAGTATTTTTCCAAATTATCAAATGGTGCAAAACCTGACTTTAAGCAAAATCATGTAAGTGTGACTTTCTTCTTCTTTGTGCTTACGATTCTCCTGCACAGTGTGGTTACACTGCACACAGTTCAGGACAGTCTTAAATCTGGGGAGGAGACAGTCCCATCTCAGGCTTTCCAGAGGCTAGGGGGTGTGGTCCTCATCAACCCTCTTGAACTGTTTTGTTTTCTGATAAACGCTGAACAAGTGGAACAAATATTTTACTCTCTTAGCCTAGATAGGTATTTTACTTTTACTTTTAGGACATATTATCTTCAAACATGAGAGATGTTGGAGATAGTATTGAAGAGAGATATCAATGTTCAGCAATATCAAAATCTAGTTAATTTGCTGTATATAAATTACTTGGCATTTAAATGCTACATTGATTTAAATGGATAACTGTGTATTATAAACTCACAAATAGCATCTCTTCAATATTTAATTATTAGAAAGCATCTCAATATTTTATAACTCTTCAGCTACTAGTCAAACACATCATAAAAACAGATTGGAAGAAGAAATATTTGGGGATTTGATATACGTCTACAGTGACAGCTATAATAATGGGGACAACAGTTAACATAGGGTACTTATGCATGCTATGCTATTTATATCACATGTGGTAGCTCAGATTTGCAAACTTTTCTTGTAAAGGGTCCAGTAATAAATGTATTCTCCAGTTTAGTGGGACATATAGTCTCTGTCTCCCAACTACTCAACTCTACCCTTACAGAGCAAAAGTAGTCATAAATGGATAAGCATGGGCTGTGTCCTAATAAAACTTAGTTTAAGGTCACTGAAGTGTGAATTTCGTATAGTTTTTTTTCTCTTTCTCTCTTTCTTGGACTTGCTTTGTCACCCAGGCTGGAGTGCATTGGGGAGATCACGGCTTACTGTAGCTTTACATTCCCGGGCTCAAGCCATCCTCTCACCCTAGTCTCCAGAGTAGCTAGGGCGCATGTACCACCATACCCAGATAATTTTTAAATTTTTTTGTAAAGACGGAAGGGGGTGGGTGGTCTCCCTGTGTTGCCCAGGCTGGTCTTGAACTCCTAGCCTCAAGATCCTCCCGCTTGGACCTCCCAAAGTGCTGGGATTACAGGTGTGAGCCACCATGCCCAACCTGTCACACATTATTCTTTAAAATTTTTTAAAAAATAATTTAAAAACAGAAATAATCATTCTTAGCTCATGGTCGTAAAAAAAAAAAAAAAAAAGGCAGTCTTCCCACCTGCTTCCCTTCTTCCCCACCTCCCCTCCCCGCCCCACACACAAAAGATGATTTGGCCCTAGTGCCTTAATTTGCTGACATCCGCATTATCTCACTGGGTTAATAGGGCTTTTCTAAATGATCAGATATACTGTGATTATATTGTCAAGTGAATGGGAAAGAGTTTTCCCGCTAGCCTTGTTTCCCACCCTACTGCCTCATCACTTTCTGCCACCCTGCTGCCACTGAGACTGATGGGGTTTTAGTCAATTGTTTCTGAGGTTAAAAGCAGGCTCTGCATGTCTAGACTCTAGACATATCAACTTAAGAACTGCTATCAATTATAAGGATAGGCAACAATCTTACGGGTTTGAGCGCTGGAGTGTCCTGATTGGGTTTGGTCGTTTTTACAGATGAAGCGCCGTTGATCAAGAGTGGCAAAGAGACAGCAACAAGTTGCTGCAGTAATCCGGGGATAAAGGAAGGTGATCTGGACTAGGCTGGTAGAAACAGGGGACTAAGACAGGCTGTTTATAGGATGCATATTTAGGATTGGGTGCTTGCTTGAATGAAGATTGATTAGCTGTTTTAAATATCTCTCACAGGATAAAATAAATTTATTTATTTTTATTTATTTATTTTGAGACAGAGTCTCGCTCTGTTGCCCAGGCTGGAGTGCAGCGGTGCAATCTCGGCTCACCGCAACCTCCACCTCCTGGGTTCAAGCGATTCTCCTGCCTCAGCCTCCCAAGTAGCTGGGACTACAGGTGTGTGCCACCACGCCCAGCTAATTTTCGTATTTTTAGTAGAGACGGGGTTTCACTGTGTTGACCAGGCTGGTCTCGAACTCCTGACCTCGTGATCTACCCGCCTCGGCCTCCCAAAGTGCTGGGATTACACGCGTGAGCCACCACCCCCGGCCTGAAATTTTTTTTTTTTTTTTTTTAAGAAATTGATTTTTTAAATCGTTTTTAAAGCGCTACCTAGGTTTAGCTGGGATAATGCATCATTTCATTCTTCTTTTACTTATTAATAACCATTTTAAAAATTGCAAGATCCTATCAATTTGTCTGATTTACTGATTCCCCTATCCCAAAGTGGAGCGCAAAATTTTTATTTCTTCAACCTAAAAGTTAGTTTAAAATACTTTTTCTGAAGAAAAAAAGAAAGAAATCCGCATTGCCCACAGTCACTGGACAGGAATCTCAGCGTGGAGACACACACATTCAATTTCCAGAAGTCTACCTTCCCCTACCCAGGTTCCCGCCGCTCCTTAGCGCCCAACCGCACCTCTTACGCCCCTCCCATGCTTCCCTCCAGCCTTCCTCCTTCTTCTCCCACTGCCTCCGCCCACTCTCTCGCCCACCCGGGAAGCTCCGCCCGCTTCAGCTCCGCAACCCAACTCCTTCTGTCCGGCTGTCGCTTTCCTCTTTCCCCGCCCCCATGGCTGCCTTCGATTGGCTAAACCTGCTGGGCCGCGGCGGGGATGCGGCGCAGCCGCATTCTGATTGGCTGAACGTAGGCCTGGACCCTCGTGATTGGCTGATAGGAGGAGACAGCAAGTGTAGCTGAGCTCCGGGGTGTGTGGACGCCGCTTTGTTGCCTGAGGGGGGTGGCGGTGGAAGTTAAGGGAGTCAGGGGCTATCGCTTCTCGGGACTCGCAGTCGCGGCCACTGCAGTCACTTCTCCAGTTAGCCCTTAGGGTAGGGGTCGCGCCGGCAGCAGCCATGAGCGGCGGCGTGTACGGGGGAGGTGAGTGAGTGCGGCCGGAGGAGAGAGCGCGCGTTTTCGGCGTGTGGGGTTTGTAACCGCCGCTCCCAGCCCTCCCCTCTTCGGCGTTCCCTTCCGGTTTCCCCCTCTCGGGACCCCGGCCTC